AATCCCCGGCCCACCAGCCTTTTTTATATTCTTTATTTTGAGACAGAGTCTTGCTAAATTGCTGAGTATCCCAGACTGTGCTCAAACTCGCCATCTTCCTGCCTCAGCCTCCTGGGGTGCCAGGATTACAGGTATGTGCTACGATACACAGCTAGCCCATGAAAATCCTGCAACCCTACTGTCTGTGCAGTGCAGGCTGCTGCTTTACAGGGTAACCCTACTGCAGATGTGGCTCAGAGAATGGGAGGGACCTGTCCAAGCTGTGTAGCCAGGGTGTCAGAGTCCAGTTTCCAACTTGGCTGGGCCCTAAGTATTCAGGCTCTGGCCTGGGATGAGACAGCCCTACCTTAGGCCTGGAGGGATGGCCAGGGGCTAGATATTCTGGGACATCAGATCATCCTCCTGGCTCATCAGTTCCAACTACAGTGCTGTGTCTTGGCCAAATACTCTCATGTGTGATGTGGGTGGAGAGCAGGGGGTATATAACAAACCCACAAAGACTGGGGGGCAAAGAGGTAGGCCCACGGTTCCGCCGCCTGCCTCGCAAGTGCAAGGTCCTGAGTCCGATCGGGTACCAAAAAAAGGGGGGAGCGGGCAGGCCTGGACTGCTAATGTTAACATGGCTGTCCAAAATGGTGGGGGGGATGTGAGGGCGGTCTGGCTGGGACATCGGTCACCCCATTGATCGCCAGAGTTGATTCGGCTGATCTGGCTGGCTAGGCAGGTGTCCCTTTCCTCCCTCACCGCTCTCAAAGCTGAGTGCCTCCCAAAGCTGTGTGCTTGGTCAACAGGACGACCACCCCTGATACAGGAGGACCATTTCCTTGGTCAAGGGTATACTAGTAGCTGTGCTCCCCTGCTAGAATCTCAAAACAAGCTCTCAAAAATGGTGGTGGGATTGGGATTGTTTTACCTCTCCCCCGTGGAATTCTCTGATCCATATAGATTTCTTTACACAGGGCATAACTGTATCCTCTTGAAATAACAGGGGACCCCTCTGTGACACCTGGATCCTGAGCCAGACAGGGAGATGGGCAGAGACATTGGCCCAATCTGGGGTTCTAGCTCTGACCTCAGGTCCCCAGTGCCAGAGACCTACGGGCCAGCACTCACCCGAAGCGAAGGCAGGCTGGACAGCTCTCCATGAAGTGTGGTCAGGTTGTTGTGACTCACAGACAAGTGCTCCTGGGCCAGAACAAGGGAGCATAGGCTCAGACCAGAGCAGAGGATAGGTGGGGTGTCCAGAGTCCCTGACTGTCCCTGGAACTTCGCACTACCCAGGAGGGTCCACCAGCCCAAACCACTTCTGCAGCTTCCCTCCCTCACACACCCAGCTCCTTTTTGCACACCTTCCAGGATGGAGTGCTCACTTTGTCTCCACCAGTTTTACCCACAGCTATCTGTATTCTTCCTCTGTGTACTTCACCTTCCCTGCAGGCTCTGCCCACCTAGCCTAACCCCATCCATAGGGACACTCCTTGACTACCCAAAGCCCCTTACCAGCTTCTGCAGGGCAGCCAGCTCTTCCGGCAGGTAGCAGAGGCCTGTGCGGTTCAATTTTAGCCATCGAAGGCTGGTCATGGCCTTGACATTCTCAGGGAAGTAGCCACCCTGGTGGGGGCATGTCACGGTGAGGCTGGTCTGAGTCCCCACTTTGTTTGGCCCCCTGACCCCCAGCTATGAAAAATAGCCAACTCACCAACTGTGAGACCCTGGACAAGACACTCTGTCACTCTGTCTCAATGTCTTTCAAGAACTTTTTTTTTTTTTGGTACCGGGGATCGAACTCAGGACCTTGTGCTTGCCAGGGAGGCAGTGGCACCACTGAGCTAAATCCCCAGCCCTTGTGTCTCAATTTCTTTATCCATAAAATGGGGCTAATAAAAGCCCCCATGTGACAAAAATGTTAGCCTAAGGTTTATCTCTGCTGCTGGCCTCTGAGTCTCAGGAAGGCCAGGATGAAACTGGCTTATTTTAGGTGACATCCCAGCACCCACTTTGTGTTTAGCTTTGCTCACATTCCTGACTGGGCCACCTGGGGTCCCAGCAAACGCCAAGGCCCCACTATGCCCCCAAGGCAGCAGGAGCCTATCAGCCATTCCTGACCAGGCTCAAACTCCAGCTGTGCTGAGGCCCACCTCCCCACCCTGCACAGGCATCACCTCATTCATTCATTCATTCATTCTCCATATTCCAGAGCCCCCCACATTGCCCCAGGCCCTTGTGGCACCAAGTCCAGTCTGGGGCAGCACATCCCTTCAGTGCCTTTGGTTCTGTCCCCTCCCCCTATGGTCACATTCCCAGCTGGTGACTCAGATTTTCCTGGTCCAGAAAAGATGCAGGAGACACCCCAGATAAAGACAATGAGGAGGGGTCAGAGAAAAGCTAGTGTGGCTGCCTGTGCATGGAATCAAAGGCTCATATAAATGCAGGCAAAGCCAAAAGAGCCTGCCTTCTCCCTAGCCCCAGGCTGACACCTAAACGGACTGGTCACCTGTCACCCCCCTGAGCCCTTCTTGGGCCTCCAGGCCAGCTCCCTTCCCCTTCCCTGCTGGCCCTCAGGTCGTGACGCTGACCCCACCTCATTCTTCACTCCCTAGAGTCACCTTCTTTCCTCACCAACTGGCTTGGGTGGGGCCTGGACTCCTTGTCCCCAGATCTATCAGTCCAGCAGCTGCTCAGACAACTGTCACCCAGGACCTTGCACAGCTGCCTAACACTCTCCATACCAACAGATCTCGCTTCATTTCAGGCATCCAAACGGTCTACTTTCAAGCCTTTCATCGGATCAGAAAACCCAGGTTCTGAGAAGGGAAGTGACTTGCTCAAGACCGCACAGGATGAGGAGGGGCGATGGTGGGGGTGGAGACCGCGCAGGGATGAGTCGGCTCCAGACCCACCCCGGGGCAGCCTGGGCCGCGGCCGGCCGGAGTAAGGGCTGGCTCGAGCGTGCGACCTCAGAGGGGTGGGAGCACAGGCGCGCCAACCCTGGGGTGGGGGACTAGCCCAGGAGAGCAGGGACGTAGGGTCGGGGCTGCAGCCGCCCCCGCGAGACGCAGAGCCCAGGCCTCGGTGGGTTCCAGGCGGAAAGGCAAGCGGCAAGCCCCACCCCGCCCCGCTCGCAGTCCAGGCAGTGGCAGCAGGACAGGAAGAAGCGCGCAGCTCGGCCCCTCGCGGGGGGAGGCCCGGCCGCCGCCAGGCCCGGCTCACCTTGAAGTCGTTGCCGCTGAGGTCCACGCCGCGCACGAACGGCAACACCCCGGTGGCCTCCATGGCGCCGCCGCTCTTGCTGCCGGGCCGGCTGGCGGGCGGGTCGGGGAGGGCGGCCGGGGGAGCCGCGGGCTGGGCGGTGCCGGCCCCGCCCCTTAACCCGCCCGCGCCCGGAGCCTCAGAGGCATTGGGCCTCTCTAGGCCTGCGAGTCCCGTCTGGTCCGGGAGTCGGGGGCGCCGCGGTGCTCAGCTGGAAGTATGCTATGCACAGCCTCCAGGATTCAGTCGCGGCGTCCAGGATAGAGGGTGTCGGGCTTGCAGGTTCAGGGACTGTCCAGTGGGCTGCTGCAGAAGGTGGCCGTGACCCTGGCAGAGATTCTGGACTCAGCCCCGGGGCCACATTTCCCTGGCCGTCTCTGTGTAAGGCAGACCAGAGATAGAGACATTTGGGTCTTCGAAGAAGCACCAGTAAAGTGCTTCCTACGGTTGTCAGAAGCGAAAGAGCAAAAGCACGCGCGAAGCCACAGCATACAGCAGGCGCTAAATGGCAGGTTACTGTATTATTATTCCTACTTAGCGTCAGCCCTCCTCCCCTAGTTATTTATTTATACCGGGGATCTAACTCAGGACCTTGTGCTTGCAAGGAAGGCGCGGTGCCGCTGAGCTAAATCCCCAGCCCCTTTGCTATTTATTGATTGGTTTGCTTTGTATCCCTGAAAGAGGCATCCTCCCGCTGTTAGCGGTTTTCGCCGTGGCCCACACAACCCTCCTTTGCTGGTTGTGTGTAGGTGTCTAGCTTCCCGTTTCAGAGAACAGAAAACTGAGTTCTGGATTTTGAATGGCTGACACGAGTCGCACGGCCTAGGTGGCGGAGGCCGAGCTACACTCAGCGCCTGGCGGGCCAGTCGGCAATAGGGAGCCAGCAGGGACTCTCACAGAGGTGACCTGAGACAGATGCGGGCCTTTGGGCCAAGTGCCATATGTCTGCTCGGCCCCTGGAAGGAGCGTGGGGGCGGGTAACTTTCTGCAGACCAAGGCTCCCATAACAAGGAACTCAGGAGTCACAAGGATTCACGACTACTGACATTCACGTCGCCCCGTCGCGGGCTCGGAATGCGGCCCCGCGCCTTTAAATCTAGAGTGCGTCAGCGAGTTCCGCCCCGAAGGGAGCGCACCGAAGGGCGAGAGGGCGTGGCCTCCCCGTCATTGGCTGAGCCGCGCAGTGTTTTGGAATGTGTGCAGGAGTGGAGCTCTCCGATTGGAGCGAGGGGCTGCTTGTCTGTGTGCCTCTAGGGCCAGAGGCCGCCCTCGGGGCCTTGGCGTTCTTCTCCTAGGTCCTTCACGTTCTACTTCCCGGAGGGTCGGGGACCCAGGTCCCGGCGGACAGAGCGTCCCCCGGTCGGTGCGCTGACGCCGAAACGGAGGTATGGTCCAGAGGGTGGCGAGACGGACCCCTAAGTCACCCACCCCCAAGTCACCCACCCCCGGGTGTAGCACGCGTACCGACGCGGTTCGGGGGCGTGGCCCGTGGTCCGCGCTCGGAGAGGGCAGGACTTTGAATCCCAAACCCGGAGTTCGAATCCATCGTGGCCCATCCTGCTTTGGGTATTGTCCTTGGATCCCAGGGCGTCGGTGACCTCCCCATGAAAGCGGCTATAACAGGCTCGTCTATGGGCTGCTGCGAGGCCTCCTCTGCCTTGGCCCAGGGCAGGCGGGTTTGGCCTAGGAGAGGAAGGACAGGCGGCATCCAGGGACTGGTTGCACCGAGTCAGGTTATTTTTAAACACCCGTGCCTTTTCCACCTTCCCAGAGTTGGAAGGCTGCGGGTTGGGGCCTGTGCGACCTGGTCAGGGTCCAGGCTGAGTGTAGTCTAGACGGGTGCTGGAATTTAAAGCACTTTACTATTTGTAGAGTGGGTTCCTTGTCACGCTGGGAGCATTGTCACCATTGGACCCCGTGCCGGATGAGGAAGCAGAAACTGATTCTGGGGCTGTGGTGGGTCAACTGGCTGGCCTATGACCTCGCAGGCCCCAGAGCGACATCTTATTTTTAGTTTGCCCCCTGAAGACAGGTGTCCAGGCTTAGTCACACAGTGCCTCAGGCTTTAGCTACTCTAGGCATCTTGTCATCTGGCAACTGGGTTCCAGATAGCCAGAGCTCAGCAGGGAGGGCAGAAGCCCTTGGTGTCCCAGCAGGCTGTGACCTTGTAGTTTGGTGGACCGGACCATGGGAGATTTCTACCTCCACTTCCCAAGTGCCTGGCCCCACCCAGTCACACACTTCAGAACAGGTCACTTCCAAGCCTTCCTCACTGCTACCAGGGCCTTTTTACTGGTGAGCAAACAGGCCCTGACTTTCTCTGTTTTTTGCCTTCCAGCAGCTGAGGACACTTGTCTCCATCTCCAGTATTGTCGCAGGCCCAAGAGGCCTGGAAAGCACCCTCTCCAGAGGCCCTGGGAAGCCCTGTGGGATGCATCTTTAGGATTGCCCTGCTTGCCATCCTGACAGTGGGGCCTTCAGCCTTGACTTGCACATATCCATTGTCAGGAGGCTCCCAGCCCTCTGAAGCAGCCTGGGTCATCTCACTCAGCCAGTCCTCTGATTTGATAGTTCTGCCTCTGTTAGTTTTCCTGTCAAGATTTGGGGGGTAACTCAGCTTCACTGTGGTCCCTGCCAAAGATCTGATCCCCCCAGGCTGTCTGAGACCCCAAATTGCAGGTCTTCTCTGGGTTTTTTTGTGTGTTGCTCCTGAGAGAATATCAGAGAGGGCTCCTGTGCCCTGCCTCGGTTAGGAACCTGAGTGCCTGGCCACATGGCCTGGGAAGGATTGCTTGCATTCTGGGGATTGATGAGTCTGGAGGCTTTGTTGTCATGGATTTGAGACCTCACCACTTACTTGTAACTTGGCAGCTTCCATCTCTGTAAAGTAGGGCTGATGATGATATGACACACCTCACGGATCTTTGCTAATATTAGAAGTCTTGTATAGGGAGATCGGGAAATATACTCCCTTCTCTGACCTGTTAAAAGCCCAGGGCCTTTCTGTATGAGCTCCCTTGTGAAGGGGTGGGTTGTTTGTAGATTTCAGGGAGAGGGCTTGATAGCTTCCTCATCTCACCTGGGAAGAAGCCCTTTTTCGTGCCCCCTTTCTTAGGAGAAATTCCCGGGAAGCTAGCCATGGCCCAGCCCTCAGTTAACCTAGAGCATCTGCCCATGCTAGTCCCCTGCCAGCCTGGCCACCCCCACCCCCACCCTCACCCTCACTTGCCTTGCTCTCCTGCCTCTCTTGCAGGCAGGCCATGGCCGAGTTCTCCCAGAAGCGGGGAAAGCAGCGTGGTGAGGAGGGCCTGGGCAGCGCTGTGGACTTCCTCTTGGCCAACGCCCGTCTGGTGCTGGGCGTGGGTGGGGCTGCTGTGCTGGGCATTGCTACCCTGGCCGTGAAGAGGGTAAGGCCAGGCTGGGTGGGGCCTTCCTGAGGCTTCCAGAATAAGAGGATAGGCCTGGGTCCTGTAAACAGGCCCTTGGAGGGGCGGTGGGACTTCCTAAGACTGCCACTGGAAGCTAGGACCCCTGTTTTTCCGCCTCAGCATCCTGGTTTGCTTTGCCCCAAAACTTTGCCATGGCTGCCCAGGCATCATTTGCTCTGATTTGTGTCACTTTACCTGCAGCTTATTGACAGGGCCACTACCCCTCGGGATGAGGATGATGCCAAGGGAGACAGCTGGAAGGAACTGAGTCTGCTCAAGGCCACACCACACCAGCAGCCCCGGCCCCCACCTGCTGCCCTCAGTCACCCCATATCTCCCCTGGCCCCACCCTCTGGTCCAGGTGAGCAGCACCCCTTCCCTTCTGATGTGGGTGGTTGCATTTGGGAGGGGCAGTCCAGGCACTGCCACTGACTGGCCTTGCAACCCTACCTGAGTCTCTGCTCCTCTCTGGGCTCCTCAGATGTTTAATGGGTGTTTTATTTTGTTTTGCTTTGGTGCTGGGGATGGCACCCAGAACTTGCTAGGCAAGCTCTCTTACCACTAAGTTATAACCCTCACTCTAGGATCATGTTTTTGTCCTCTTACTTCCTACCCAAGTAAGGTGGGCGGTCTCAGATGGGAAAACTGAGGCCTGGAGAGGGGCAGGACTTTCTCACCCTGCATGAAGATGTTTTAGTTGTAAGGCCAGGATGTTGGGGCTCTGAGCCAGTGAGACTTTGTCATCAAGTACTCACTGTCCTGAGACCTGGACTCAGTGCTTTTGCAGTGGCTGTTTCAGGTAAGAACAAGGACAAGAGCTATTGCTCATCTAATAATCAAGTCTCTTGTCATGGAGAATTCTGTTACATTCCCCTGCTCCCTTCATTCTGCAGAGGGACCTACAGACACAGAACCTCAGATGCCACCTCAGCTCATCTCCCCAGCACCGCTGTGTCTGACTTTCCAGGAGAAACTGCTAGCATTTGAGCAGGACCATGTGGTTATCCCAGCAGCTCATGTAGCTTTGGCCAAACAGCTGGCTGGTGACATTGCCTTGGAGCTTCAGGCCTACTTGAAGAACAAATTCCCAGAACTGCCCTTTGGGGCGCTTGTGCCTGGAGGACCACTCTACGAGGGGCTGCAGGCTGGGACCACAGAGCATGTGCGCCTCCTGGCACCACTGGTTCTGGAGCCGGGCCTATGGAGCCTGGTGCCTGGCGTGGACACTGTGGCTCAAGACCCTCGCTGCTGGGCTGTGCGCAGGACTCAGCTTGAGTTCCACCCACGTGGAAGCAGCCCCTGGGACCGCTTCCTAATTGGGGGCTACCTCTCCCCTCGAGTCCTGCTGGAGCTGCTCCGCAAAGCCCTCAGTGCCTCAGTCTACTGGCCAGCCATTGGTGGCCTGCTTGGGTGCCTGATCAAGCCCAGCATGGCCTCAGAGGAGCTGCTGCTGGAGGTACAGCATGAGTGCCTGGAGCTCACCATGATTGTGCTCGTGACAGTCACTGGGGCCAACGAGGACAACCGTCTCCTTTTGGCCTGGCCCCTGGAGGGGCTGGCGGGGAACCTCTGGCTTCAGGACTTATATCCAGTGGAGGCTGCCAGACTGCAGGCCCTTGATGACCGTGATGCTGGCACTCGCCGGAGGCTGCTGCTGCTGCTGTGTGGTGTCTGCCATCACCACCCAGCCCTGGGACGCCTGGGCCGAGGCCATCTGACCCAGGTGGTGCTGCATCTGGGGGAGCAGGAAGTGGACTGGACCGAAGAGGCCTTGGGAGAGCATTTTCTGCAGGCTCTGGAGTTGCTCATTGGCAGTTTGGAGCAGGCCAGCCTGCCCTGCCACTTTGACCCTAGTGTGAACCTCTTGGGTGCCTTTCGGGAGGATGAGATTGATGACATGGGTTATGCACTGTACAGTGGTCTCCAGGCACCTGAGAGGTTGGTCTAGATGGGCAGGAACCAGGTGGCCAGCCTGTTTTCTGATGCTGGCGAGCTGTACCCCCAACCCTGCCTTCGGGAGTTGCAGAGTAGGTTTTTGCTTGCTTGTAGCCAGAACAAAGGGAGAGTACCTTGCCTCAGTCTGTGGGGGAGGGGCACTTGTATGAGCTGTAGTCTCCTGGATCCCTGATCTTGGAGAGAGCTTGGGTTGCTGTCACCTGAGTGTGCCTGGGCTGCCCTATGCACCTGGAAGCACCAGCTACTCATTCAGGTGCAGGTGCCCCTTCAGCCCCTTGAGGCCAACCCAGGACTTGGGCTCAGTTCATCATCACCATCAGTGATCCACTGAGAACATGGCTTCTGCCATCCCAGGCCAGATAAAGGCCACTCCATTTCTCTGCCAGGAAATTTTCTGCTTTCTTTGGGCACCAGCTGGAAGCATCCTGGGGGCGAAGAGTGCCTGATCTTTTAAGTATCCTGCCTTTGTTCCACCCTTGGGGGCTGAGTCTCCTGAGACCCGGGAGGACAGCTCTTTGCTACTGAAGGATGATGTTTTCCTGAGGTCTTCTGTGTGTTTGATCTGTGTGTTTGAGTTCTCCAGCTCTGGAGCAGAAGCCCAGTTTGACTTGCTGCCTGCCTTATACCTCAGGGAAGGCCCCTTTCCCTCCAGCTAGATGAGTTTTCTCTTCAGGCTGTAGAGGCCCCTGGAAGAGCCCTTTCCTCAAGGCTGGTTGCTGCTCTGGGTCCCCTGAAGAGTAGAGGATGTGCCCTGCCCCTTCATGGAGGCTTAGGGTGTGGGGTTGGCCTTGTACCTTCACAGAGTGCCAAAATGAACCGTTCAGTTGGTGTCCTTATTCCTGTTCTGTATCTGCCTGAAGTAGTAGGGGCTGGAGGAGGGACAGTCCCCCTCCTCCCAGGGTTACTGCCTATCCCAGGATCCCTCCTGCTGAAACAAAGCTATGGCTTGAATGTGAACAAGAATAAAAGGAGAAACTTCTCCCACATGTGTGACTTACTGGGAAGGGCATCTTGGCACTCACAGGCTGCTGTTTGGAGCTGTGGCTTAGTCTGGAGGACTTGAGATGAACTTGGTGGTGGTAGGGTTTATTTTAAAAAGTAGTGCGTAGGGGCCAAGTGTGGTAGTGCACACCTGTAAGCCCAGCACTTGGGAGGCTGAGGCAAGAGGACTGCCACAAGTCAGGCCAGCTTGGGCTACATGGTGAGTTCAACCCCAGCCTGACCTACATAGTGAGACTCTGTTTCAAAAAACAAAACAACAACAACAACAAAAGTAGTGTCAGTCTGTTTAGGCTGCTATAACAAAATACCACAGACTGGATGGCTTATAAATGACAGAGATTTACTTCTCAGTTTTGGAGGCTGGAAGTCTGAGATCAAGGTACAAACAGTTTCTGTCTGGTGAGGGCCCGTGTCCTGGTTCATGGATGTCAGCTAACCACGTCTTCTTAGGGTAGAAGGGAGTAAGGGATCTCAGTGCCTCTTTTATAAGAGCACTAAGCCAACCATGTGGGCCATACCCTCAGGCCTCCCAAAGGCCCCTGCCTAAGTCCTTCTCATCAGAAGTTCAGACCTCAACATACCTTTTAGGTGGACACATTCAGTCCATAACAAATTGGTTGTATGAAATGAGGACATTAAGAGTATCTTCGCCTGCCTTACAAGCGCAAGGTCCCAAGTTCTATCCCCCCCCCCAAAAAAAAGAGGGTCTTGGTGTGAAGTCTAATAGGAACCAACTACTGTAGTTAGATTTCTTTCCCAAAGGCTGAGCAGCTGAGGCCCTCTGTGTGTTCCATAGCCCTTCAGCCATGACCACGAGTCTTTGTTTTTAGTACCGGGGATCAAACTCGGGTCCTTGCGCTTGTGAGGCAGGCGGCTGCACCACTGAGGTAAATCTCTGGCTTTTTGTTTGCTTTTTTGTTGCACGAGTCTATGATTTGTTTTCTCCACCTCCCAGCTTCTTATGGCCCCACAAGTAGGGCTGAGCAGCTGTGAAGCCAGGTCATCTTGGCATCCTCAAGAGCCAAGCTAGGCTCACTTCTGTCCCCACAGGTGACAGTGGAGGTGGGGGAGGACTTTGGACCATGTGTGCAGAGCCCGTCCTCTCCCGCAGCTACACGCCGCCACACCCTATTTCTGTCTTCCCATAGCTCCCCTTCCAGCAGTGAGTACAGGACTGTGTGGGGACACAGGACAGCGGTGAAGGTGGGAGACTGGCTTGGCCGAGGTTGCTCTAGGTGTGTAGTTTGAGAGCTGAACTCAGGTCTTGATGTGTGAGGAGCTCAGAGCAGTGTTACTAGTTGTGGAAGGGTGGCGAGGGAGCAGCTGGGAACAAGGCCTGTGTCTCAGTCCTCTCGTCTGAGTGACCAGGAGCACAGAACCATCCTGGGCAGCCATGGGGACCAGCTGGGTGGGCAGTGCCAGCTTCTACCTGGCATAAGGACAGCTGCCCTGGAATGAGCTTGTTCGGCTTTGCTGCTTCCTTCCCTACACCTGTGTCGCCAAGCTTCATGTGGCCGGGCCCATCCCAGCTGCCAAGTGAGCCCCCTGGCTCACACAGCCCTTCACTTTAGGGAGAGGCTGGCAGAAGACTGCAGACAGCTATCCAGAAGACAGCTCAATTTTTTTTTCATATTGCTTTTATTTTTTGTCTTTTTTTTTTGTTTGGTACTGGGGATCGAACTCGGGACCTTGTGCTTGCGCAGCAGGTGGCGAAACCACTAAGATAAATCCCCAGCCCTCAATTTTTTTTTTTTTTCCTGTGGTCTGGAGTTGGAACCTAGGGCCACACTTATGCTAGGCAGGCACTATACTACTGAGCCACACCCTAGGCTGTGAGCTCTGCCTAGAGCCCCTGTCAGGTGAGTGTGGTGCACACCTATAATCCCAGCACACGGGAGGCTGAGGAAGGAGGATCACAGATTCAAGGCCAGCCTGAGCTGCATAGTGAAATCCTGTCCCAAAAAATTGAAAACGAAACAAAAAATCCCTCTCATAAGACTAGACCCTTGTGTGGTCTGATACAGACTGCTCTGTGGAGGCCATCTGCTTCGGGTAATGCTTGACTTTCCTGTCAGCATGGATGCAATAGGGAAAAAATAGGATGAGTTAAAAGGGAGCAAAATGTTCTTTTGGGGGCCGGGTAGTGTGGGTGGAACCCAGGGAGTACGGAGCTACAATCTCCAGCCCTTTGTTTTGAGACAAGTTCTTGCTAAGTTGCCTAGGCTGGGCTCAAATTTGTGATCCTCCTGTGTCAGCCTCCCAGAGTGCTGTATTACAGGTATGTGCCACCATGCTTGGCGGCCTTGCAAAATGTTACGATTATGTCACCTAGCCAAGGTTCATGGACTTCAGTTTCTAGCCAAAGAACAGGAAGCAAAGGGACATTTTTCTAGGAGCCTTTGCAGGCTCTTGTGGCCTGGACTGGCTGGATCCTGGCTCTTGGCAAGATTTGCTACTGCTAAATCCAGTCGTTCCCATTTACTATGAGACAACCCAAGTTAGCCTTCCAGGGTGAACAGGGTGTGTCCTGGTGCAGGGCCTGGACACCCTAAAATCTAGATCCTTCAGCAAAACCAGGCGTTTCAGTTCCTTGAGCTTTACCAGGTGACCCAGACCCAGCAGTTCTGATGACTTCGGCAAAGCAGTAACTCCGTCTACTCAAGGCAAATGAAAAAAAGGTATAGCAAAATGGTGGTTTACAAAATGGCGCTCATGGAGCCTCTACCTCAGCATAAGTCAAGAAACAAAACAAAAAACAGTGTGGTGCCACATGCCTGTAATCCCAACAACCCTGGGAGGCTGAAGCAAAAGGATTGAAAGTTTAAACTCATGCACCGAGGATTTAGTTCAGTGGTGCTGCTGCCTGCTTCACAAGTGCAAGGTCCTGAGTTTGATCCCTGGTACAAAAAAAAAAATTCCAAATTTGCTGAGCCAGGGATTTAGCTCTGGTGCCGACGCCTGTCTCGAAAGCACACGGTCCTGAGTTCGATCCCAGTACCAAAAAAAAAAAGTTTAAACTCAGCCTGGGCAATTTTTTTTTTTTTGGTACCAGGGATTGAACTCGGGTCCTTGTGCTTGTGCAGCAGGCAGTGAAACCACTGAGCTAAATCCCTGGCCCTTGCCTGGGCAATTTTATAATTGAAAAAAAAACATCTCAAAAAAAAGGCTGGCATACTTCTAAAAGTGATATACAGATTTAATGCAATCCCAATCAAAATACCAATAAGCACACCTCACAGAACTGCAGAAAACAATCCTAATGTTCATTTGAAACCGGAAGAGACCTAGAAAAAAAAAAGGAATTCTGAGTAACAAGGGCAAACCAGACAGCATCACAATCCCCAATTTGAAATTATACTACTGTGATAAAAACAGCATGGTACTGGCAAAGAAACAGACCTGAGGGGCCAGGGATGTAGCTCAGTGGTGCTGTGCCTGTCTGGCAAATGCAAGGTCCTGAGTTCGACCCCCAGTACTGCAAAAAAAAAAAAAACCCAAGGATCACTAGACCAGAATAGAAGATACAGAAACAAGCCAGGCATGGTGACACACACCTGTAATCCTAGCACTCTGGAGGCTGAGGCAGGAAGATTGCCATGAGTTTGAGGCCAGCTTGGACTATATAGTTCAGGGGTAGCCTGAACTACAGAGACCCTGTCTCAAAAAACAAAAAAAGGAAGTTGTGCAGAAACAACTCCAAACACACTCAGCCACCTTATCTTTGACAAAGGGGCCAAACACCTTCACTGGAAGAAAGATAGCCTCTTTTTTTTTTTTTTTTTT